TTTAAAATTACTTCTTAGAAGATTCAAGATTAGCTCTTAAGAGTTCATTAGTCATGAACTCTCTGTGCGGGGATATAGAAGGATCTGCAAACTCAACAAATATGCCAAATCAATTCTCTTTCCCCACCAGACATTTAGCATAGCTGCTGCTTAAAATTATGGCATAACTTTCCCTCAAGGCTCTAGAACAGTAGAGCTAAGGAGAAGAAAGAGTAGGATATTTCCTTTCTCCTGACCAGCAACTATAAAAACTGATTACTGAAATACTAAACCATAAGTGTAAACGAGCTACTACAAGATACTAAGGACAAAGGAAAAAGGAACTAGTGTTTTGAGAACTTTAGCTGGTATTCAGGAATTTTAAAGAGACTATCCAGTGGTATTGAGCACTCTGAAATATCAAACCTCTCTTCAGTGTCTTACATTGTGCATCCAAAATCTGTAGTACTGTCTAGTGATTAAGATACTGTGCTGTTTACATTAACATGACCTTATTCTTAGTACTCACATAATGTTCTTACTGCATTTGACAAGGACTGTTTAAGAGTTAATAGCGCTGTGTAAGACCACTTCTCTGATGTGCAAACACAGTAAGATGCATTATCTTCGGAACTGTGTTAGCTCTAGGGTTAACCACAGGATGAAGAGATGCCATCTCCGCAATGAACCTCATTTTAGCACAAGGTAAACACACTTCCCCCACATCAGCTAGTCTCACAGCATTAGTGGTGTGTCGTGATTGATTACCAGCAGAGTGTTGCTGAGATATGGATTTGTATCTCAGCTTTTTATCACTATGACTTGCAAAAGGCAGTTCCTTATTTACAGACTCTAGCTGTATTAAGTGACATTATTAGGTACTATTTTGTTTAAGTGACACAAAGGCTTAGCATATTGGTGGTTTATGACATACAAGCTGTTTTAATCTGATGATTTACCCCTCACTTTTTCAATCTGTAAATAGGAGCTGCAGCACAAGAACATATGGTACTAAAGAAATTAAAGCTAAAGTAAATGGCATTAAAACAAATTCAAATATAACAATAGGATACTCAATCTGAATTATAAACCTGGATCAGTATTAAGACATTTAAAATAGGAAATAAAAACCTAAATATGAAAATTAACCTTTCAGGTGTTTTTTTTTTTTAAGACCACTTCAGGGGTTTACTGTGATTGAGTAATTTCCTTATTAACCCTCATTATTTAGATCTTACAGTTAAATAAATAAATCAGTAAACACCTATTTTAATAATTGAAACTAGGTCTGAATATCACATTACTAAAAATTAGTTGTTTACCTTTTTAACTTTTGGGTTCATACCACATTGCTTCTGACACAGTAAAAATGCATGATGCCTAATGCTCATATTCCATACCAAAAATCAATAAAAAGGCAATGAAAAAGTACATTTTCCTAACTTTGTAACACTGTAGCAGCTTGCTCAAAGGAATTTCATTCTCCTTTTCGTGTAAATAGGAAGATTCCCCTCATTATTATTCTGTAGATAAACTCCAACCTCTAGCATAAGAAGCATCATGTACCATAAAGGGTCCAAAGTAAAGACATTCCTAATATACTTAAATTATAACTTAAGCATGTGGTTAAATTATACCAATCCATTTGATACATGGGATTAGCTCCATCAGCTTGTAATCCAACAATGACTCCAGCAAAGACAGTTTTTTGGTACAGGCCTACATTTAGTGCACTCTGACAAAAATAATTTTTCTCATATGATGTATTGCTTCAGCTAAGTACAGCAGCAAAAGTATTTTTATACCACTGTGAAGACTTTCACATACTGCCACTGCTATACTGCATTTCTACTCAACTGAAATACCTCTTTTCAAAACAACTTAATTTACTTATGGGGTTGGTTTTTTTTTTTTCATTTTTCATTATAGCTTGGAAGGTTGGTTGGGGTTTATTTCCCTTTAATCTACAGGTATCTACTTGGTTGCTTGCAGCAATAAATTATCTCATCTGTGTAATTTTACAGACAGCATTTTTCTGTAATTTTACAGACTGTTTTTCTTTTCAAGTGAGTTTTCCATTCTCCTATCTCTACATATATAAACCATCCTGAGAAGTATATTCACGAGTGAAACAGGATTGGAAGCAGGATCTGATTTTAGCATTCTCTTAGACTTCAGAATAAGAATCATGTATGATAGTGCTTCTAAGCACAAAAATCCCTAACTTAAAATCTGTAAAATACACCAACATGGACACAGTCAATGCAGGCTAAGCACAATTCCTACTAACGTGACTATAAGGATTCTCCTTTTGGGGTGTCAAGAGAAGCAGCTGCTTAGAGGCGGTTTCACTCTTGGCTGTGTTAAGTATGTTGTACTGCCGTTATTCTGACATCTCCAGTAACTGGCGAACTCATACCACCTACCCAAACACCAGCAAAGAATGGAGCCGAGGTCTCAACTACCTAATCTGGTAGTATTTCTGCATTTACTGTACTGCAGTAAGTTTACAAACATGAGAGCAACTATTCACTGTCAGTCCCCAAAACAGGAGACAAGTTCTCCAAGGAAAGCTGAGCAGTTCACTGTAATAAAAACAAACAACCCTCTGACCTTACCCACTTAGAGTCACTGCATTCAAGTATCACTCAGACTTCTCATTTTAAAAAAAGCAATTAGTAGCCTAATATAAACAACAAAACTGATGACAGTTTCTAGGCTTTGCTCACTTAAAGAGTGCCTGCAATTGTACCTTCCTCTGGCAGCTAGACACCACAGGCAGCACTTCTGGCCTTTGGGATGCTAGGCAAGGCCTTTCCTCAAAGAGTTTCAACAATCCGCCCCCCCAAAAAACCCCAACTCGGGTTAATTCTTCTCAAGGAATTATCAATAAAGCAAATGGCCAGTTCTCTATATATCTGCTGCGGTTACTTGCTTTGAAGAATTTTGTGGTGCATAGCATAGTGATTCACTAAAATAGGGAATCTGATTAGACTAACGCAGACGCAGATCGCTTTTTCCCTCCCCAACAAGAACAATTTACTTCATGACTAATCCAATGTAAATTATGAGTGTAAAGTGCAGATATCTATATTGAAAATACACTCTTTGGTAAATGAAGTATCTCCTGAACAGATGGAAGGATCTACCTCTTCAACAACCGCCAGAGATAGGAGGAAACAAATGAAAGCATTTCCATTTAGATCCTTTCTCCCTCTAGATACAGGTTATGATGTGAGAAGAAAGCTTGTCTTGTCACTTTGCTGTATTTCCATGCATTAGCCTTTATGAAAAATATACATGGGAAAACAGGAAATGGACTCTGCATTCCTCATCCTCTCATTCTCCTTACATTTTATATGAAAATTGAAGACAAGAAATCTTACACCTAGGGCAGAAATTGTTCTGCTGGACAATCGATTACCTCAGGGTTTCCAGAAAGGCTGACATCCTGTTAAATACAAACCTTTCCTGAACTTCCTTTTCAAGACTCAGACAAGTAAGGAAGAAGATGCTCAGAGAAACTGTTTGCGTCTTCTATCAGTGTACACAGAATTCAGGTTCCCATTTCGGGTCATACCGCTTTGGGAAATTCGTATTTCACCTAAAATTACTACTCCCATAGGGGAGAGAAAATTTCTTCAACTTGGTAAGAAAGGTGGGTTGGGTTTCTTTTGTTTGGTTTGCTTTTTTCCTTGGTTAAATGGTAACACAATTTGATTTCCTTCTTTCTGTCCTCAAGCAACAGAAGTGTAAACAAGCTCCAGTGGTACTGGCACTTGATGACAAGGGCAGATTAGAGGCAGGTGCCTGAAATGTTTTGCCTCAACACTGGAGTGGAAGAAACAACAAATTCAGCCCCTCAGAACAGTATGATTCATATCCTTGCTTTCTGGTTCTAGGTCTTGACTAAATCCAGACACCAAATCTAGACACAATGTTGACAAGAATTTTGTCATTCATTTTAGTAGGGACTTTACATAGTAAAGTCAAGGATTTTAGTAAAGACGCTATTTCAGCTGCTTAATCCAAATGAAGCAACAGTACCTGGAGGCATGCTGGTGAAATTGGCTGTTGTTATGGTAGCTAAGCTCTTAAAAGATTTATCTATCACAAACTGTAGCTGGCTGGAAGGAATGTTCCATAAAATTCTCCACCTTCACAGCACAGGACTTCAGCTATGGGCCAGATGGCAATTCTTCTTATTCTGATGAAATGGGTGTAAGACAGCAACAGAATATCTCTTTCATGATTCAGAACACCCATGCAAAATGTGATGTCTCCACAAGGTGCTGAACAGAGGTAATGGTCAAACATGCTTTTGGGGGAAAAAAACACACCCTACATTTTTTCTGTGATCATAATTCGTGATTATTTTTCTAATGATAGTTTAAAAAGAAGTTGCTGCAAATATTTTGTCACAAATCTTTCCAAATCTCTATTAAGTCTATCTGCATAAGGACAAGTGAGCATTAAGAATATTTTTTTTTCTTTATTTCATCTTGTTACCAGACTTTTTGGACAAATTAGGAAAATTGCTGCTTTTCCAACCATACTCAGAAAAATTAAAATATTGTTACATTGAAATATTAGAGATACACTGAAGTATAATTTTGAAAGCAAAATCCTAAAAGCTATTGCAGAGACAAAATTTTCACTTCTTAGTGTTTAAAATACAGAAACAGTTTTGCCTTAAGACCAAGCCCTTGAGTCTGCCATCTGTACTGCATTTTATGCAAAAAATTTTAGAGTGTTCTTCCACGGAAGAAGACCTACACAAAGGGCAAAGCAAAAGTATCATCTGTCTACACTTCCTACAGAGACAAAAGACACTGAGAAAGACAGCTTGCAATAAACACATTTTACCAATTATGACATTTTACTCTACATATACAAGAGGAAAGGATAATTTATTAATGTCGTACTTCATGATTTATGATGATACTCAAATATTGCAAATTCTTTATAGACTACCAGGCCTACATAAGTAATCATTAATTTACAAAGAAACTAATACTTACATAGCTGTGACTCTTAAGGAAATCTGAAGGGTTGCTTGTGCAGACCTTATCCCCTTCCAAGCCAATTACTCTTTTACAGATATTTGATTTGGGGTCATTTGGGCTTTTCACAATTACAATATCTCCTCTGAGAGGAAAAAACAAACAAAAACAGAAGAACTCTAAGTACAAACTATTTGGCTGAATACATGTGCATCAATGTGTATACTCCAAAAACACTCACATACATTAAAGAAACTTCTGGTCAAAATTCTTGTCTACAAGTTTGGTTTCTTCAGTTTTACTCAGTGCTCAGGGTGTAATTTTACAGACAGTTGAAGTACATTTGGCAAGATTCTTTGTTATTTAGACCATTTATAAAACATCTAAGACTACATTTTAATTGACAATGCTCTGATGAAATTAATACTATTTAACTTGATCCCGTTGCTACATATATACAGAACAGAACATACTCTGTGTTCCTAAACATTATTGTGCAAATGTTGTTCTTCCAGTGAAGCTTCAAACATCTAATCTGAGTTTGTAAGGCCTTATATTACTTTTGCTTCCTGATTGAGTATGCAGATTAGATTGTACAGTGAAACAGTCCACAATAAAACAGGCAAGGGCCTTGAGCCTACTCTGCTCTGCAACACAGTAATAAAATGACGTTTGTTCAATGGTACTTATACCATTTGGTCACCTTTCCTAACAACCTGAGCACAGCAATACCTACAGCTTGGTTTTCAAGTAAGACAAAACTGCTCAGAGGACAAGTTACATTCACACAACAGAACTGTTTTAGGAAAAATGAAAATGGGAATTTTCCCACTTTTGGGACAAAGCTGTACAAGTAACAGACTATATCCTAAATGAATTCTGACAAGTTGTTCAATAGACCATATGTGCTGATTACTTTAACTTTCATCAGACACAATGAGAGGAGATTTATGAAAAACTAAAATTTAGAAGCAGAAGACTATATGAAAAATAAGGGGCAGAGAGAAAGTGGTTATCGACAAGCTCTGGCAAACTGTATGTAAAATCGAGTCTCAACAAAGGAGCATACTTTCGAATGCAATAAAAGTGGCGGCTAAGGTTCTCCGAAAAGACAATATCAGAATTTTGAATGGTTGGTTCCATTGAAGGTCCAGAACACTGCAAATTAAAAATAAATGAGAAAATATTACTATTTCCAAACACTTTTGTTTAAAACACATTATATTCAAATTATTTGCTAATAAATTAGAAAAGGTATAATGTAAACGACTGAAAAAGTGCAATCCTCCAAGGAACATCTGATACAACTAAAAGGTGAGGACAGCTTCCAGAGTGCCTCCAATTGTTACAGCTCCTTGTTTGCTCAGGGTTGGCCCAGACCTGCACGAGGTGCTACGAGCCCCTCCGGAGCCATTTCAGCACCTCATCCGCAGGAAATTATTCGGAGCAGCACTCGGCGCTCTGCCACCCTACCCCTTTCTTCAGCCTCTGTAAAAGAGAATCACCACAGAAGCTGCAAGGGCAGCTCACAGCCAAAATCCACCACGTCCAGCAGCACTACCTGCTAGGTTTAGAAGCTGGGGAGGAAGCATAAAACGGCCAGGAATCTGCCCTGAGTTGGCAACAAAGAGTATTTTCTATGGCATTATTAGTGACTGCAGTCCTTCTAGAAGAACGTACTCTCTGCAAAATGCTTAATCGTAGTTTCCCATTTGCTTCAGTGATACCTCAAGCAGTAACTTAGCAAAAATTAAAAGTGCCCAAAGTAGAAATAACTTTCGTAAAGGCTGGGCCTGTGTTGAAAAAAACAGGTATTTACTAAACACACTTTGAAAAAGCTTTAAAAAAAATGAAAGAACCTCAAATATTGGCATTATCACATATAACAATTTCAGTATTATAGTTCTACATTCTTTTAAGTGTCGTGAAAGTGAAAAGTTACCACAACAATTCCTCCAAGGTACTCAAAGGCACAATGTGCTATGCATCCATATTGCACAGTATACCCAAGAAATCGAAAGGTTTTTCCTAGGGCATTGCGAAGCATGGTAGTGTTACGTCCTTCAGCTGGTTCTAGTCTATAGTAAAACAGAAGAATATCATTCATTTGATAACAAACAATATTTACAAAACTATCTTTTGTGTTTAACAACTGATAGACACTATTTTTTAAAAAACAGTGAGTAAAACCAACAAGTTATCAGATAGATCTGAGGCGATGAATGTAGTACTATGCAGACCCTTCCACATGTACAATCAATCGATCCCTCTCACCAGCTTATTACTGAGATTCAGTTGAGTAGTAGCTGAAGTAAAAAAAGCCACCTGTGCCAAACAAAATTGATAGGAAAGAACGGTGTCAGTACTCTCCAGTGACTCAGCTGGGCTGCTTCTACCAGAGAATGCAGATAGGCTTACCTGCCACATGTCTAAATACCTGCAATCGTTAGGAGAACATCCTCCCCTCCACTTGGCATGGCTGAATGGAATCTGGAAAGCTGTAATCGTGCCTTTAAATGCAGGCTTTAACTTCCTGACCGGACCACGTATTGTAACTCGGATGCAGTTATTTATTAAATAACACTTGATAAAGTTTTCTAATCAGATGAAGGCAGTGCAACTTAAATCACCGTTTTTCTTCAAGCACTAGTATTTAAAACTGAACACTCAACAGCAAAACAGAGAAGCATCAAACCATCTGAAGTGATCTGAAGATACTTCATAACTGAAGTTACATTCCCAGAAAACTGCGGTAATCAAGTAGTCAACCAAAACATTCAAAGCAACCTGACAATCAAATGAAAAAAAGGCTTGAAGAACTAGATGAAATTAAGGATAACAGAGTCCTGAATAGCTTGCCTAAGACTACTAGAAAAAGAATACAGTTGTTGAGAGGAATTCTAGAGGTTTTGCAGAGCTTTCCTTTGACTAGACTTCCGTTACCAAAAGACTTGCATGTAAAAATAAGGCATTAGGTCTTTCTCTTCTCAGCTACACTACAGTGGCGTAAGTTCTGCAGCACATAAGACTAAATATCTTCTGATCCCTACGCCCAGATATTTAAGTCGAACTGATGATTAGTTACAATTCCTGCAATGCTAATCTAACTGTTTCCTTACCCCCATTTTTAACATATTTTTATGTATTTTTTTCTAAGGAAGTGGAAAACACACATACTGAAGTAACTGAAGCAAGTTCTACATTCTGCCAGAAACCCATCCCGCCCTTAAACTCAGCATCAGCTTTATCATGAACTAAAACCACAGCAAGATTTCCCTCATTTACTAAGATGGGTCAATACAGCTTGCTAAACAAATGCAGTAAGTTAAAAAGAAAAAAAAATATGAAGAGAGCTGTGCATATAGTAAGCCCTACTTAATAAAGAAATTTTGATTAGATAAGGAAAAAAATTTTCACAGTGAAGGTGGTGAACCACTGGCACAGGTTGCCCAGAGAGGTGGTAGATGCCCCATCCCTGGAAACATTCAAGGTCAGGTTGGACGGGGCTCTGAGCAACCTCATCTAGTCAAAGATGTCCCTGCTCATGGCTGGGGGGGTGGACTAGATGACCTTTAAAGGTCACCTTCCAACCCAAACTATTCTATGATTCCATAAAAAAAACAAAACAAAACAAACCATCCTTGGGGGAAAATGTTCTCTACCAAACTCATTTCCTTGTTCCAAAAGAGATTCAACATAAAACATCTCCAGAATAAATCCCCTTAAACCAATCTGTGATTCATCATCCTTAATATTAGCTAATGAGTTTCACAATGATGAACCAAAATACAACAGAAAAAGTCTTGAATTGTTTCATTAGTACATGCAGTGCCCACACATCCTGCAGAAACTGAAGCAGCTTTGCTGTAAGCTCAATGGTCTTTCAGCAGAATTTATTCCAGGGAGCCAGAGAAGTTGTTTGCTCTTCTCAACCCAATATCCCATGAAAAGCAGGGACAAACTCCTTACTCTCAGGGCAAGAAACACTGAGCCCAGAAATGTGTCACAGGTGATAAAAGGAAGATGGAGTGACATCAGATTGATCTGAGTTGCACAACTAGTGTGGATTGATGACCACAACTATCTTTTGAAAGAAGTACATCACCAGTACTTTTTAACAGCACCTGCTAGAAAGGCAGCTACCAGGCTATAACTCTTATTATGAAATGACAAGCAACTGCTATACATATCTCTGGAACTGAGTTTCAAACTGATTGCAACTGATTTCCTAGCAGACTCCAGATGACGCACACTTCCCAATAGTTACACTGAACACACTTGGTTTCTCTCCGATGTCTGAGTAACTCTGAATTGGGAGGGAGAGATTTGTAAATTACTCAAGGAAGCACAGGGTTCAGCGTTAGCTTTACCTACTGCTAGAGCTGTCACAGTATAAAACTAACCACAAGGATAGAACATGAGTGAAGAGGTCTCAAATTCTGTTCCCAGTTCTCTTAAAAGAATTTCTTTTAAGACCTGGATTTCACCAGTGCCAGTTTATAAATATGGCACAATGGATTTTTAAGTGCTCAGTCTCATCAGATGTTCATGATAATGATGAAGAAATTCTTAGCTCTAATATAAGGCTTTTTATTACTACTCCAGGAAGTTAATTTCAAATTAAATACATATATAGTACCTAGATTATACACAGTTTGAACCTAACAAGGTAACTTCAGAGGATTGGGGGGTTTGTTTTTAACATTAAGGTCCACCTTTAGCCATCTAATGTTCATTCCACAGAATAACTACAATCCTGAAAGTTTCCATGTAGTTTTAAGTAACAACTTTAGTAAATGAGTAAATGGCTGCAATAAGAGTAAGCCCAGTCAAAAAACCCTCTAGTTTATTAAAAAACCACAGAATACAATTGCTCTACCTTAAGCATCAGTAAAAGACAATTCTGTTTCCTCAGAAAACTATTTATCAGTACATTTTTAAAACAATGCCATATTGTTGATCACAAGAAGGTAAACAGCTGAATGTTCTTCCACATCACACAATTTTAATACAAAGTGCTGTCAGCAGGCAACTCCATCAGATACAGCATAAGACCATTAAGCACAATAAAACAAATGATTTAAGTCACAGGCCCCTTGAAAACTTAATGGATCTGTTGTATAAACATCCTTATCACAAAACTAACAGCATAAAACCTGTTGTAATTACTTCCAAGACCTACCTACTATCATATAGTAAGTAGCTGAAAATTTTATACTGCAATAGCCATTGTTTCTATACCAAACACAGACATTGATTAAAAAAGGTTATACATCCATATTTATCACATAGAAAACAATTTGGTTCTTTTACAAGAATTGTATAGTTTATCCTCTGCAGCGAACAAAATGCAAAATGTAATTACTATTATATTCTGTTCCCTTTTCCTTACATAGCCTATGCCTTCATCATTTGATTTTTTTGTTTGTTTGTTTATAAAATTAATCACAGCTAGCAGGGTGGAAATCACTTTGAGCCTCATGAATGACATCCAAGAGATGGGAAAGGATTAGTTCTCAGTTGCTGCCAGTTATAGCGCCAGGTGGCTTTTTCTGCAGTGAAGGTGTTACCGATAATCCCATTACATTGGTACTAAATCTTGCAGACATCAAAATTATCACCAAGGTTCCTTTTCATCCCATCCTTTCCAAATGACTGGAAGTCGCTTCACCTGAAAGAAGTCAAATCCACATGCAGCTGCTGTTTTAGCAGCCAGCAGACTCCCTGAGAATGCCAATCGTGATCCAATTTCGCTGTGCTGGTGGCCCCCTATTCCCTGTCCAATAATACATCTGTTAAAAAATCCTACAGCTACAAATCAAGTTTAATCCTACCAGGGACCTCATGTTGGTCTTGTCTTCCAAAAAGGCAGCAGGTTTTGCTGTCTATCTCTGCTAGTGTCTGGGGAATACTCTTTAAATCCCAGCCCTACTTAGAAGAATAAGCTAAGGATCACAAAACATGACCTTAAAAACCCTGATATGACTATATTCTGACCCAGAGGCATTCATTCTAGGTGAAGATTAGAACTTTGCATAATAAGATTACACAGCAAGTGAATGATATCAAGGGACTATCCATATGCAGCCGCCTGGTTTTCTATAGACAGCCTGTGCTCTGCAATATGCAGTGCAGACGAAACAGAGCTTGGTCTTTCTAGCCAAAATAAAATAGATTCACATAAATTAGTTGGCCATTTCCAGATTCCTAAATCCCCTATTACATCTTTTATTGACAGCTCCTGTGAGGATAGCACAAATGGTATTCTCTTTGTATTCTCTGCTTCTGTAACAGTCACGCTCCCAGGGAAAGGTACATAGGTTGTCTAGAAATTAACATCTTGTTTGCTGTAATCTTGGATTACAATTAACTGTGTACATAATAAAATTAGGAAATCAATGAGCAGATTTATAATTTCCAGATAACCAATGGCATTGTGTAAGACAGTTGTAACATATGGTGCCAAAATTTTAAATAGAGGAAAATCAAAGTCACAGCCAATGAAAGTGTGGCTAAACAAACTACTGGACTCGCTATTAAATAGATTTTTCACCATGACAAAAAAATTTCCAGTCACATTTGCTTTATAGAATGCTTCCTAAATTCTGAATTTTCACTGAATATTTAGGGATAGTTTATCAGTTTTTCCTTAGCTAACAAAAACTGCTCTCCCAACATTCTCTGCTTCTAACCAGACATCTTTCTTCACACAAAGTAATCCCATAGTTTGCACCATCTCTTTCCCAAAGAGTTACTCTGAGATTATTACTTTTAAAAAATAAAATTAAAGAAAGAAAAAACTGCACACTGACTAGGCTACTTAAGTATTTATGTTTGAGCTGTTATTTATATTAAACAATTTTTTTAAAACTTCTGCATGAAATTAATGTTACATGTGCTAGAATAGTGAAGGGCATATATGATGTTTATTGGGAAAGATTCTTCCCATATCAGATACACAATAAATATTTAAAAGTTTTAAATATTCTAATTGTAATCTGATGATTCCAAACATCTAAAGCAAAACAAGGAACAATTTTCAAAAGGTCTTTCCATGCAGGGGGTCAGGCAGAAC